TGCCAGACTACAAATGCGCCCAATTCAATTCTGCCTATTATCCCAGTGGCATCCACATTTGGACAACCTGGAACACATGATTCAGGTCAGCGAATTCCTCATTCCACATCTACTTTGGTGGACAAAGCAAGAAAACGCCCTTGCGGGGACATCTATCCTGAGTTTCAAAGCAGATCTAACATTGTGGACAGATGCCTCATCTTACGGATGGGGAGCCCACCTAGAAGATCGCAATGTGTCCGGCAGATGGTCAGTGGAGGAACAACTTTCACACATAAATCTGTTGGAACTCAGTGCAAGGGAAAAAGCCCTTCATCACTTCAAAAACAATGTCAAACACAAACAGATCCTATTGAGGACAGACAACTCAACAGTAGTGTCCTACATCAATCGCTAGGGAGGAACAAAATCTCCAGCCCTGTGCATGTTGACATGGAGGCTTCTGCATTGGTGTCGTCTTTGGGGTGTACAACTTCGTGCAGCCCACATTCCCGGGAAAAGGAATGTGATAGCAGACCAGTTGTCCAGAGGACGACAAATTCCGAAAATGACAGAATGGAGTCTCAATCAGGGAGTAGTTCAGCAGATTTTTCACATTTTCTCCACTCCAAACATAGATCTGTTTGCGACAAGGGAAAATCGGAAACTAACAGTTTTTTTGTTCTCCCTTCCCAGATCCTCTAGCATGGGGATGCGATTCTCTAGCTGTAGACTGGATAGGAATGTTTGCATATGCATTCCCGCCACCAATACTAATTCCAAAAGTGCTGAAAAAAGTAGAACAGGAAACGTGTGTGCTTCTGCTCATAGCTCCGTTCTCACCAAGACAGCCGTGATTTCAAGACCTACTCAATCTGTTAATAGACTTTCCAAGGGAACTACCAATAATAACAAACTTGTTAACACAAAAGAGGGGACAGTTCATTCATCCAAGTCCAGAAAGTCTACATTTGGCCGTTTGGAAAATTTCAAACGACAAAGTCTTGCGAATCAATTTCTGAAAAAGCTAAGTCCTTCATCTCCAACTCTCGTAGAGAATCAACAAGAAAAAAATGTATGATGCTAGACTACGAATCTACAGAGAATGGTGCACCTCAAACCAGAAAGATCCTTTTGAGGCCTCTGTAGCTGATTTGGTCGACTTTTTCATCTACTTGCATGAAGAACGCAGTTGTAAGCCAAACACTATTACAGGTTATAGATCGGCTATAGCATCTATTCACAAAGGTTGGAATAACAGTTCTGTCAGTAACAATACTGATTTATCGAAATCAATTAAAGGAATTTATAACTCTGAACCAAATGTACGACCATTACTTCCAAATTGGGATCTACCATTAGTTCTATGGAAATTGTGTGATTATCCTTTTGAACCAATGAATTCATGTGTTATGAAGTTTCTTACTTGGAAAACTGTGTTTCTAGTAGCATTGTCAACAGCTTCTAGAGTGAGTGAAATTCATGCTCTTTCTACGGGAGAGACGCATTTGCGTTTAGAGAGGAACGGAATTCGACTTTTACCAAATATGCAGTTTTTGGCCAAAACTTAAAGATTGGGAAAGCCATGGAAACCTATGTTCATACCAGAATTCAACACCTTTGCAACAGAGAGTCGAGACTTGCTTTTGTGTCCATGCAGAGCTTTAAAAATATATCTGGAAAGAACAAAGTCTTCACGTGGTAATGAAAAGTGTTTGTTTTTAACTTACAAATCAGATCTACAAAATCCAGCTTCGAAGAATTCCATATCAAGATGGATTGCATCTCTTGTCAAATTTGTTTATGAACACAAGGACAATAGTGAACCTTTATGTAGCATACGTGCACATGACACAAGACGACTGGCAACTTCTTGGGCCCTTTTCAATGGAGCTCATTGGGCAACAGAAACCACTTCAACTTCATTCTACATGAGGGATGTTCCTAAAGATGAAGCTCGGTTTGCCAAGTCTTCAGTCCTTGACACATCTAGATGGGCAAAGGCAAAAGAATAGAAATAAAGTACACCTGTAATGGTGAGTGCAATCTTTATTTTCACTAGCTATTTTTATAGTTATTAAATTAACTTATTATTGTCCCGCCCTATTTCTGCTACAAATTCTGCAAAAGGTTGATGCAGGTAAGTATAGATATTGATGTAAACTGGAGGTTTTTAAATGTAAAACCCCTGTTTACGATATATCTATACTTACCTGCATCACCCACCCCTTATAAGTTATTTATTTGGGTCCTAGTTCTCTAGGTCCTCACAAAACTGAAGTGGAAGTGCTAGCGCATTATGGGTATACACATAGTGTATGATACCACAGGGGTGGTCTCAAAAGTTCAGGCAAAATCGTAGGCAGCCCAGGGAAAATGCAAAAAAAAAAGTTGATGCAGGTAAGTAATATATCGTAAACAGCGGTTTTACATTTAAAAACCTCCAATTCACATCTCTAACTATGATTTACAATCGTGAACTAGTTAAGAGTTGTTAATCATAGTTTCACAAATCATGAAACGATATTATCAGATCTTTAACTATAGTTAAGAATTGTAAACCATAGTTTACAAATTGTTAAACTGTATTTATCAGATAATCTATGTTTTGCCATCACAAATGATTGTTTTCAGTGTTTTAAAAGTAGAGTTAACGTTTCTGGAACATAGATTATAGCGTTAACTATAGTTTACAGATGTAAAATATAGTTTACAGTCCATAAGCTATAGTTTACAACCTATAAACCTATTTTATCGACTGTGAAACCGTGTTTAGCTCATTTTGTGAATTTAACTTGCCATAGATATGTCCTTTAGAAAATTATGATGTTTATTTTGCTATTTGACACAATTATTTTATTCATGTCTTATACCCTAAATTGGTCCCTTTATCGTAGAATGACTGAGTTATTCTATTTCATTTATGCTTTTGAAATCGAAAAAAAAAACAGGGTATCCCCTTAAAAAATGCCTACTCTTAAAATATAAGGAATGGGGTAAAACTTTTTTTTTTCAATTATAACTTGACCGGAAATGTGCAAAACAAATTATTTTCACATGGACCAGTTTTCTTTACCTGAAACATAACACAGGAAGAACAAATAATGGTATCTCAGTAATCAATTTCACCTCTTACATTACGGTCAGGAGCAATAACAAACAAGATGATTGTTTTTGTTTCTTTTACTTTTTATGCCTCCGTAATCGAAGAATCGGGGGTATATAGTTTTTGCTCCGTCCGTCCGTCTGCCTAGCTGTCTGTTTGTCCACAAAAAACTTTACCTTTGCCTATAACTTTTTTATGGGTGGGTCAATGACTTTCATATTTCACATGTACATTTCTTGTGACAAGCCTTTCCTCTGGGTACCACCAAATATGACCTCTTGACCTTGGAATATGACCCAAGGTCACTGCTCTCCAGTTATATTTTAGGATGTTAAAACTTAACACAATTTCATAATACTAGTATTTCGTAAGGGGCTCAAGACAGTCTTATCAAAAATGCTTCTTTTGAACTAGGAATAAAAATACTTGTGAACCCCCGTTCTTATGCGCTAAAATACGTTCACACAGGTGCAAAATTTACATGCATTTGTAAATAAAATTAGCTTACAGTGTGTAAATAGGTAAATGTGAACGGGGCATTAAAAAGTCTGCCAGTGTAAAAACCAAAGTTCTATTGTTATTTTTAAAAACCTGAACTCAGCTGTTACTGTCTTAAAAAACGTTATTTTATGATTATTATAATAATTTCTGACAAAGATTTCAATGTTGATTAACAATAAAATTTAATAACGTGATTTAATTCATAGATTTCCAGTGGCATATGCCCTGGCATTCCCAACAATATGCATGCAATATTAATAATAGTGCTTAAATTTCAAAAATACTTACCAATGTCTATAGTCTGTGTAAGGAATGTTGTTATATATATTATTTGATGCTGTGAAATATCAACAGCGATTAGTTTATTTACCACTTTGAATTAGTTTTGCTTTCGTTTGGTTTTCTTACAACTGGAACTTTAGTCTCGTTCCACCAGACTCTTAAAGTCTTTACAAAAGCAGCCGAGCGTCTGTTGAACGAGACTACGTTGGGGAAGCACATACTGTAAATATAAAATTATTGATTCACTGCAAGAGAACCGGTTTTAATTTTACATATCAATATAAAATTCTGATTATTGCTTATCTATTATCAAAATCTATTTGGGTGGTTTTAATAATACAGCAAGTGTGTATTTGTTTATTATAATGTCATTGAGCATACAAAGCATTTAATATCGTTATTTATGGACACATAGGCGTAGTCACAGGGGGGGGGGGGGGGGGGCGGGGGCCCCCCCCCCCCCCCCCCCCCCCCCCCCCCCCACTTTCAGATCTGGGGGGGGGCAAGAGTATGTCTGTGCCCCCCCCCCACTTTTTAAAAGAAGAACAAAATCACAGCTATTTTCCCCAACATTACCTTTACTATAGGAAATATTCATTGAATGGATCCCCCCCCCACTTTTTGACCCTTGTATAATTGGATTTGACAGTAACTTGCCTTTGAAAAAGTTGGCCTCTACCCCCCCCCTTTTTTTGACCCTTGTATAATTGGATTTGACAGTAACTTGCCTTTGAAAAAGTTGGCCTCCCCCCCCCCCCCCCCCCCACGAAATAGGATTTTCGTTTTTGGGGAACTTTCCCCCTTTTTTTTTTTTTTTTTTTTTTTTTGCTTGTCAAAGAATTTCTGGAGTTGAGCCCCCCCACTTTTAAGTTTGTTTGTTTTTTTTTTCTTTTTGCTTGTCAAAGAATTTCTGGAGTTGAGCCCCCCCACTTTTAAGTTTGTGACTACGCCTCTGGGACATTTTTAAACTTTGCACCCTGTTCATAGGAACTATATGTCATTTAGTACATACACAGACACAAAATTCTTAATTGCCTTTATGGACTTGAAGCTTTTTATTTATTTTTATACAAACTAACTTGAGACATATTTTTATTGGTTTTAAAGCCTATATAATCTATTTTAAATTTTACTTTTTAGCTCACCTGAGCCGAAGGCTCAAGTGAGCTTTTCTGATCAAAATTTGTCCGTCGTCTGTCGTTGTCGTCGTTGTCGTTGTCGTCGTTGTCGTTGTAAACTTTTAACATTTTCATCTTCTTCTCAAGAACCACTGGGCCAATTTCAACCAAACTTGGCACAAAGTATTCTTGGGTAAAGGGGATTCAAGTTTGTTCAAATGAAGGGCCACGCCCTTTTCCAAGGGGAGATAATCATGAATTTGTTAATAATTTATGGCATTTTTAAAAAATCTTCTTCTCCAGAACCGCTGGGCCAGGAAAGATGAAACTCATGTGGAAGCATCCTCAGGTAGTGTAGATTCAAGTTTGTTCAAATCATGACCCCCGGGGCAAGGGTGGGGCCAAAATGGCCGACCCAAGTTTTACATAGGAATATATAGGAAAAATCTTTAAAAATCTTCTTCTCCAGAACCACTGGGCCAGGAAAGATGAAATTCATGTGGAATCATCCTCAGGTAGTGTAGATTCAAGTTTGTTCAAATCATGACCCCCAGGGCAAGGGTGGGGCCAAAATGGCCGACCCAAGTTTTACATAGGAATATATAGGAAAAATCTTTAAAAATCTTCTTCTCCAGAACCACTGGGCCAGGAAAGATGAAACTCATGTGGAATCATCCTCAGGTAGTGTAGATTCAAGTTTGTTCAAATCATGACCCCCGGGGCAAGGATGGGGCCAAAATGGCCGACCCAGTTTTACATAGGAATATATAAGAAAAATCTTTAAAAATCTTCTTCTCAAGAACCACTAGGACAGAAAAGATGAAACTCATGTGGAAGCATCCTCAGGTAGTGTAGATTCAAGTTTGTTCAAATCATGACCCCCGGGGCAAGGGTGGGGCCAAAATGGCCGACCCAATTTTTTCATAGGAATATATAGGAAAAATCTTTAAAAATCATCTTCTCCAGAACCACTGAGCCAGGAAAGATGAAACTCATGTGGAATCATCCTCAGGTAGTGTAGATTGAAGTTTGTTCAAATCATGACCCCTGGGGCAAGGATGGGGCCAAAATGGCCGACCCAAGTTTTACATAGGAATATATAGGAAAAATCTTTAAAAATCTTCTCCAGAACCGCTGGGCCAGGAAAGATGAAACTCATGTGGAATCATCCTTAGGTAGTATAGATTCAAGTTTGTTCAAATCAAGACCCCCGGGGCAAGGATGGGGCCAAAATGGCCGACCCAAGTTTTACATAGGAATATATAGGAAAAATCTTTAATAATCATCTTCTCCAGAACCACTGGGCCAGGAAAGATGAAACTCATGTGGAATCATCCTCAGGTATTGTAGATTCAAGTTTTTCAAATCATGACCCCCGGTCCTGGGGATAGGGTGGGGCCAAAATGGCCGACCCAAGTTTTACATAGGGATATATAGGGAAACCTTTTCAAATCTTCTTTTCAAGTACTTCAAAGCTATGATTAGTGATACCCGGGGCATTTATATGGAATCATCCTCAGGTAGTGTAGATTCTAGTTAGTTCAAATGATGAACGCCTGGAAGGGGGAGTAAATTCAAGCCCGATGTGCTCAGGTGAGCGCTGTGGCCCAGGGGCCACTTGTTTTTTTTAATTTTGCAAATAATGTTTGAAAAATTGATATTCCAAATATGGGGGTATACGTGTTGAAAAGGCTGTTTTTGTTAAATTTATCTGGTTGAACGTAATAAACTATGCTTTTTTGTTAACCTTAGATATAATTCTTAATAGTTTTAAAGAAAAAATGGCACATAAACAGTTTCGATTTTGAAAATTATTAAAAATAAAGAAATTTTCAGATTTTTTTTCTGAAAGACGTGGACAGATTCAACATCAATTTGTTAATGTTTTCCAAAAAAGATTTCAAATGTTCTCTTGGCAAATGAATATTTTTGATTTTCATAAGTTTAAATATAAATTTTATGTGATTTGGTGCATAGCTAAATAAAATATGAGATTTCACTTCTTTTTGATCAATTTTGGCCATTGAAGTTTTAGAGGTATATACTCTGAGTTATGTTGTATAACAATTCACCTGCAAAGATATGTTTTTTTTTTATGGGCGTTTTAGTTAGATTATGACTTATTTAAGGTATTCAAATTAAAAAAATAGTTTGACAGAAAATTTTGAAAGTACGGACCTACCTTAAATTAATGAATGTAGTAGAAATTGAATGTTTTTATTTTTCAATAACCTTACTCTCTATCTAGGTTTAATATGTGATTTTCATAAGTACATGTAATGCAGAATATCACTTACATAAATTCTGGAAATGTCTCCATCAGCCATTCAATTCTGAGAGATTGAGGAGTGTTTCTTTTTATGCACACACAATCAAAGATTTGTGGGTATATAGTGTTTCCCCTGTCCGCTCGTTTGAGAAGCGGTTTGTCTCTTTTAATTTGTCCGCAAATACTCTAATCTTGCCCGTAACTTTTGATTTGGTGCAGCTATGAATTTTAATTTATTTTTCACATTTATTTCACGTGACAAAACTTTACTTTGGGTGCCATGGAGTTGGACCTACTTTGAATAAAAGAATTAATAGGAAGTCTTTGTGAAACACTGATGTCCCCGTATGGTAGCTTTTGGCGACTGTTGAAGTTTCTCAAATGCGGGTCTTACTAAAAGGTCAAGGTCAAAGGATAAAAAATGTTGTAAGTTATCTAAACAAAACATTTGTGTCAATGAATTTATATTTATGAAATATGAAAGTCCAAGTACCAGCCTTTTTAAAAGTTATCACAAAGATTAAAGTTTTTTTTTAAGTTGGTTAATCTTCAAGGTCAAAGATTAAATCCAATGGTACTCAGGGGAAGACCTTGTTATAAATAAAAAATAAACTAGGGGAATATAAAAGCCCTAGCACCAAATGTTCAAAAGTTATGGTCAAGGTTAACGTTTTTCAAAAGCAAGTCGAACTTCAAGGACAAAAGGTCATAGTTGTTGGTATCCTAAAAAAAAATCTTATCAAGAGTAACAAACCTGTTAAATATGAAAGCCATACTACTAACTGTTCAAAACCTGTGGCCTAGGATAAAGCTTGGTAATGTATTTTGCAAAAGTGGGTCAAATTCCAAGGTCAAGAGGTCATATTTGGTGGTACCCAGAGGAAAGGCTTGTCACAAGAAATGTACATGTGAAATATGAAAGTCATAGCCCCACCTACTAAAAAGATATGGGCATGGTCAGAGTTTTTGTGGATAGAAAAGAAAGCTAGACAGACGGACGGACACGGCAAAACTATATATCCCCGATTATTCGATTACGGGGATATAAAAATTAAAAGAAACAATAACAAACTTGTCGGTAGTTTTTTAAAGAGTTATTGCTAGGGCTTTGATACTTTTCAGAATTATTTTTTTAATTTTTGACATCGACCTTAGAATTTGACCAATAACGTTGGTCATATCTTTTGGAAGTTCATATCTCACATTTCTTATTCGTTGTGACAAGACCTTCGGTTAGATACTATTTTGACCTTCGAACCTTGACCTTGGAGTTTGACCACTTTTTAAAAATTTTAACCTTGATCATAACTTTTAAATGGTTGATACTAGTGATTTTATATTTCACATGGCTTTGTGTATTACTTATGATAAACCTTTACCATTAATTTTGACCTTGGCCTTCAAGTTTGACATTTTTTCGAGTTTAATTTACATTCCGGTAGAATTATCAAGAAATCAACTCCGCTAACTTTCAAAGAAATATCACAGAGAGAAAAAAAAATTTAGAAATGAAAATATAAAATGCCCCTGACCGTAATGTAAGAGATGAAATTGATTACTGAGATACCATTATTTGTTCTTTCTGATGTTATGTTTCAGTAAAGAAAACTGGTCCATTTTTTAAATGCTTATTTAAACCAAGGAACTGGAGAGCAGAAAACATGCAGAGTGATATATAGTTCTACAACATCAAAGAAACTGAATAAAAGCTTTATCATAAATCGTCTTTATCAGGTGCTCGGAGATCTTGTACAAATACCGAGGTACCTATCTCTCCATAGTAAAAGCATGTATTCTTTATATCAAGTTTTACTCGGTTTTTTGGAATTTGCAATGCAGAAAGATTGCAGACTGGTTATAAAACGGTAAAATCTTAAAACGCGTTATGAAAGGGATGTAAAAAATTCTCTAATTTTGTTCATGGATATCAAAGCATCATATTCACAATTCATATGTAGACAGTGAGTTGTTTTTCGAAAAGAACTGTCCTATAAGCTACTCAAGAGTTTGTTCTGAACACGTTCATTTTTTTAAAAAAAGTAGGTATGCTATAAACTTGCCGATAAGTTGATGTTACAAAGATTTCAATTCGTTTATTATCTTCACCTTTAACATTTGTACATCATATCATTTTCTCAAACTTCATCCTCGTATAACCGTCTATTTTCTTTGGATGGAATGTCCTATCAAACCTCTTTAAGGATAAAAGAATACGTAAAAAAAATTATCACATAACTTATAAGGTCGTGTTAAGATATAGTAAAACATCTGCTTTATCTTTGAATAAAATTTGAAAAAAAAATTGATTGTATTATAAACAATGCCAAGTTTGTAGTGAATAAGCACAATGAGTTCAAATTCTTGTCTTTACTTGCCTTTTCCAATTCCCTCTGCTGCGCAGAAGCGACGTAATGGGCGATAGATCCCTCTCACACTTCACATTCGACATTTATATCTCAAAATGAACGAAGCTTTTCATATCGTAGGACTTCTAACATTTTTATTTGGGGTAAGTTTGCATGTTCATAAAATTCATTGAAAATTATATTCAAAATTAAAATAAACACCACTGAAATTGATTTATTTATACAGAGAAAAATGATACAAAACTCAATATAGAATTTATATTTATTTACTGTGGCGAGCATTGGCCGTGGCACAATACAAAATTGTGGGACGCCATTTCAATTGGGCGAACCCACCAAATTCAAACATCAACAATGTGCGTTTCTTTTTTCTAACCGTCCCGGGTTAACCGCGGAGGGTCAGCACACATACAAACTGTTCAAATCAATCAATCAATCAATCAATCAATCAATAAGTCATATCTCAAATTCCAAATATCAAGCATATCAACTTATTTTATCAAATCTTGTATATCATATATCATTAATATCTCAAACTTCATAGATCAAACATCTCAAACTTCAAATATCAACATTTTTCATATTTCAAACCTGTACGATGTAGTACAGTTCTAAATTATATATTACTGTCACCAGGAGTAAGCTTATTAGCTTAGTTTACACTAGCATTAGCATTTCAACAAGGTGACAGTTTATTACAAGTTTCACACAAACATTCAGTTATCAGTTGACTTGGTGTGCGCAGACGCTTCACACTAATGACTTCTCCTTGAAAAAGTGCCACGACGGTTTCTTTTAGTTTAAAATATCAATCCTATGACCAGCTATATGCTACCGATTTGATTTTATAAATGATAGAAAGTTTCACAATTTTGCAACACTATTCGGTACGGATATTGCACAGAGACACTTTAGCGCATGTTTAGCACAATCCTTGAGGCTCACAGTGGACTTGATGTGGGGCATCATGTGGTAGATTCTTCACTTTAACTTCTCCTTAGACAGCACTAGGATATTTTTTCTATGGGTACAAGGTCATCTCGGCAAGCAGATCAAAGCTGTTTCACTGCAAAATAAAGCAAAAAACCAAGCAGCAGAATATCATTCTTTACTTAGAGAAAATGGAACATTCTAAAAATAAGGTAGTGGGAGGGCGGGTTTTTAAAGTTACAAAACAAAATTTCATGTATTTTATTGCAAGCAATTGTTATGCGTCTTTACCTTCGAAAGGTTCAGGAGAAAGGAATGTGAAGATCAAACCCGACCTTTTATATACTACACTTGATGTGTCAACCAAACCCGACCCTTAAAAGCCAACGTTCAAATAACAAATACTTGGGACCTATTAAACTAGTTTATAGGTCCCTTCAAATATACTTTTCTCGTAAAATAAAGGCATCTATTTTGTATACACAAATAGATGCTATTATTTATACAGAGAAAAATGATACAAAACTCAATATAGAATTTATATTTATTTACTGTGGCGAGCATTGGCCGTGGCACAATACAAAATTGTGGGACGCCATTTCAATTGAGCGAACCCACCAAATTCAAACATCAACAATGTGCGTTTCTTTTTTCTAACCGTCCCGGGTTAACCGCGGAGGGTCAGCACACATACAAACTGTTCAAATCAATCAATCAATCAATCAATCAATCAATCAATCATTCAATCAATCAATAAGTCATATCTCAAATTCCAAATATCAAGCATATCAACTTATTTTATCAAATCTTGTATATCATATATCATTAATATCTCAAACTTCATAGATCAAACATCTCAAACTTCAAATATCAACATTTTTCATATATTTCGAACCTGTACGATGTAGTACAGTTCTAAAGTATATATTACTGTCACCAGGAGTAAGCTTATTAGCTCAGTTTACACTAGCATTAGCATTTCAACAAGGTGACAGTTTATTACAAGTTTCACACAAACATTCAGTTATCAGTTGACTTGGTGTGCGCAGACACCACATGGCTGCAAGTTGGCACAGCTTGCAGTCACCCCACACATTGGGGGGAAAGCAAAGCAAGTCAACTGGACCACGACCAATACTGCCAAGACCCCCCTTCCCAGCTAGATCCTTGCACACATCTTGATTCCTAGATGTGCATATCCTTCAGCAGACTTAGACTAAAGTATTTTGAATTTCCCTTAATTTAGAAAAGGTTTTACAACACATAAGGCAATCAAATCTTACCAAATGTGATGTATCTCGACTAATTCCTCAATGCCTAATAAAGCTTTGTCTTGTAGAAACTTACCTGTCTATTAATTCCTTCTAAATGTCTAAGCAACCTTGCAATGCTCTTTACCACCATAATTTTTCGTTTCTCCATTATTCAAGGCAAGTTAGATGTAAATGGTTGTAGTTAATCAAAATTACAGATCTGGGTTTTTTTTAAACCAAATAGGGGGAGTTTCACTCAAGAGAACTACCTATATCATAATTTCTGTTTAAAAATTGCTAAGAAAGCCATGTCCTGCTGTTTGAAAAAACCAAATTTTATATCTCCGAAGGCGACTCATTCACTCTCTAATTAGCCAATTTAAGCCGAGCAATTTGAAATTCTTAATCATATTCAATTACAAGAAGGTACAACACTATTTAGTGATGGTTACAAATGCCTGTAAAAGACAATACTATCATTTTGGAAGCATACTGGTCTTGTTTAATGATATTCCTACAAAAGATACATTAGCTGAAACATTAACAAATTTACTAGTATTCCAATTTGTACATCATACTTACCAGTTAAGCTGCCAGGAAGATATTTGGCACCTTATAGATGCCATTTTCAAACTAGAATTTTTTGGCTGCAATTTCATTACCCATGCTTGCAATACTTGTGTACTTGACTAATCTTATTTATGTGCTAATTGACTAAGTCCCTTCCCTCTTACATAGATTCTTTCAATAAATATTATTAATGCCTGTGATACATGTATGTGCATCTGAGCTCTACAGCTCTATATGACCATATTCTTCCACTGTGTAGCCCAAAATGCAAAGCAAAGTCTAAAATTCTTAAAGGTATAGATGTTTGATTATTAATTACATCAAATGGATTTATTTTATTTATTTATCTATCTATTATATGCAATGAGCCTGAATACACGTATTACATGTACTGGTATCAATATGTGCTTGATCCTTCTTAATAGTATTTTGATTAAAAAACATACACCAAGTGAAATTTGTTTTAAATGCAAGCCCAAGGGACAATGCGTAGTCCTAAGTTTTAAAGTCTGCATAATAAGAACAGAGTTACAAAATAAAAACACCCTGTGAGGAACTTTAATAGCCCGAACATCTTAAAAATGAAGTCAAATGCACATACAAGGTTCAGCAATCTGTATAAAAATCCAAAAAACATATAAACTTTCTGTGAGAACTCTTTTGAAAATTAATTGATACATTGTTAGGGATTTAAGGAACTTGCCTAATTGTGTCACTTCTTGTGTGTATATATAGCCAAATAGTTTAAATAAGTTTATTTGCAACATACATTCTGTTGCATGTCCTATAAGTTAACTTGGATTATAGAAGTAATTGTAATTTAACTTGGTATTTCCAACACTGTTATCTTAAGTAACCTGAACTGATCTGGAAGGTCATGTCTACCTACATCTCAAATATCCATTATCTCTACTGAAAGCTTTTCCTAATCCCAAAAGTTTAAGAAAATGAGATTTGACTATTTCTTTTTTGCTTTAATTATTAAAAACCAAAATATATTCATTTATAAATGATTACAAAACATTCTTGACATTTCTTGGATTACATATTGCAATTTCCAACCTTTCATTTCCACTTTATTGGATCAAAACAAAACTATCCTAGTAATTCCAGTCTTAGGCAATGGATGGTTTATGGTTGTATCTAAGTATTTTGTATTTTCCATTTTATTCAAGAATTAATATGAATTGATACGTTATGCTGTTTAACAATGAAGATGCCCCCCCCCCCTTCTCATTTTCACCTTTGTATTACTATATTTCAATGACCATTTTGTTTCCAATTGAATAAATAACAGCAAAAAAAATCAATGACCAGAAAGCTCCAACAAATACAGACTTGAGAAAGGCATTTTCCAGAGGATCATTGCTCCCTGACCCCAAATTTAGATCTCTTTTCTTCTTGAAGTCAACTATAATGAGTAGGATGCCCAATTTCAGTGTAAATCTATAAAATTATGATATGCAATTGATCTTATCACTTGCCTTATAAATATCAGGGGCTTTCACAACATTAGATAGTAACATTTCATGAATACAAAGAACTAAACTCTAGGAAAATTGGGTGCATTTAAATAACTATCACAAAACTACTCTGGAAAAAGATATGTACTTCATTCTCCTTTTTATTTACATTCATCACAAACTTGAGATATATACTATGTCAGCCTGAAAAATGTTGGCATTAATGCCTAATAGTTTTGAGCCAAGTTGAAATGCCTAACAGTTCTGAGTCATGCTGTAAGTAATGCCTAATAATTCTAAGCCATGTTGTAAGTAATGCCTAATAATAGTTCTGAGCCAGGTTGAGCCATGTTGTACGTAATGCCTAGTAGTTTTCAGCCATATTGCTTTTAATGCCCAACTGCTCTGAGCCATGTTGTAAGTAATGCCCAATAGTTCCGAGCCAGGTTGAGCCATGTTGTTAGTTATTCCTAGTAGTTTTCAGATATATTGTAGTTAATGCCTAATTGCTCTGAGCTATGTTGCATGTAATGCCCAATAGTTTGAGCTGCATAAAGCCATGTTGTAAGTAATGCCTAGTAGTTTTCAGCCAGGTTGTCATAATGCCTAATTGTTCTGAGCCATATTTTAGATAATGCCTTAAGCCAAATAATTCTTAGCCATGCTTTATGTAATGCCTAATATTCCTTGGATTTTAAAAGACTCATCAAGTTCTATTCCTACAATCAAACAAAACGTTGCAACTGTTTACATTACATACCTGAATATCTATATAAGAAAAATTTAATATAATCTCACAAATAGAAATTTAATGAAAATGTGCATTGAATGGGTCTGAAACATATGTTACATATGAAAAAATTAAGCTGCTGTATTATCTACACCTAACATAACAAGAGCATATCAAAACAATCTTTTGGGTTATTT